TCCTTGCTTCTATATCCAACCTCCCAAGAGGAAGGCATGGTCACTTCATGAGGGATTGAAGGAAGAGAATCCATAGTCTCTATGTGTATCCTGTTTCATTAGCTTTTGGTAGAGCCACCTGAGACCTTTCTCAGAGCCAGAGCTCACAACGGATGCTACCATACTGATGGCTTTGGGCAAATGACTTTTTTCCAGGCTTCAGCTTTTTTCATCTGTCAAAGAAGGGGGCTTAACTGGGTGATCCCTAATACCCTTTCAGTTATAAAGCTTATGCAAAAACAAAAGATTGAGAGGTCCTCTGGGAAGTCAGGAGAGAAAATGATCCCATTTTGAAAGTTTTTCCAGAGCTGGATTTACGGGAGTAGTTTTCCATGAAGCCAGTATATCCATGTTCACCAAAAAAGGCACAGAGACTGGCAGGGAATAGTGGGTAGGGGGAACAATGTAGGAGGAAAGGACATGCAATGTGAATAAACAGAATGAATTGTGCCAGGAAGTTGAGGCTTTGGGAATCAGAATCTGAAAGCAGACTTGAGTCACAATTTTCACAGAATCAATGAGTTTCAGAGTTAGAAGGGACCTCAGAGTCAACTCCAACCTATAATGAAAAGGAAAAAAGTCCCTGTACAACACAATGGAGAAATGGTTACCCATTGTCTCCTTTAAAGCTTTTTGTCAAGGAGGATCTCGCTGCTTCTGGAGACAAAGTATTCCACTGATCGTCAGAAGGCTTGTTTCATCAAGCTTCAATGTACCTCTGTGGAACTTCGGATCATTTCTCCCAGGCCTACCTTCTCTGGCCAAACAGAACACGTCGAATCCTGCTGCCATGGGAAGGCTTTAAGTACTTGAAGCTAACAATCCTGTCTCCCCTAAGTCTTCTCTTCTGCAGCCTAAATGCTCTCAGTCCCTTCAACAGCTCTTCATGGACATGAGCTCAAGGCCTTGGACCACTCTGGTAATGCTCCTCCGAATATCCATTAGCGTATCAATGGCCTTCCTAAAACGTGATGCCCAGAATTGAACACAAAACACCATATGTGGTCTGCTCACAACAGTGTATGGCAGAACCACCATTAGATGGTGTGTCACCCTGTTGGCCTGCAGTCCACTGAAACTGCTAGACTTGCCTATGGTCATAGAGTTAGGAAGTGTCTGAAGTCGTTGGAACTCGGGTCTTCCCTACTCCAAGCCCATGCTCCAACCACTGCACCATCTAGCTACCTCGTAGTATAAATGCTGTTCTCACTAAAACTCCGTCTCCTTTTCTGTGGCTTTGTGCCAGCTGGCCCCCACGCCGTGAATGCCCTCTGATCTCATCTCCTTTTACAATCCTTAGCTTTCTCCAATCTCAGCTCAAGCGCTATCTCCTCCAGGAAGCCTCTCTTGGTTCACTAGTTGCTATAGCCTCTGCCTCAGAAATGACTTTGTATAAATTGTATAAAGGAAGTTATGAAATTATATAATTATAGGAACAAACAAAGGAAGGAAGGAAGGGAGAAAAGAAGGGAGGAAGGGAGGGAAGGAGGAAAGGAGGAAAGAAGGAAGGCAGAAAGGGAGGGAGAGAGGAAGGGACGGAGGAGGGAAAGAAGGAAGGGAGTGAGGGAGGGAAAAAAGAGGAAGGGAGGAAAGAAAAAAGGAAGGCAGGAAGAGAGGGAGGGAAAGAGGGAGGAAGGAACGAAGGGAGGAAGGGAAAAAGGAGGAAGGGAGGAAGGAAAGAAGGAAATAGGAAAAGAAGAAAGAGAAGGAAGGAAGAAAGGAAGAGAGGGAGGGAGGAAAAGAGGGAGGGAGGGAAAGAGGGAGGAAGGAAAGAAGGGGGAGGACCAAATGAGATAATGAAAGTAAAGCACTTTGTAAACACTGAAGCACTATATATGTATATGTATATGTATATTATGTATGTATGTATGTATGTATATGTATATGTCAGCTATTATTGTTATTCTCTTGATGGCTGGACTCAGTTTGAAGCAGTTACTGAGCTTGCCTGTCAACGCCACATAGCCGTGGCATCGGAAGAATCACAAGCACTATTCCCAGACTTGCTCATAATTATTCAGATTTCCTTTTCTCTGAACAATTATAAGCAAGTCTATGTTTCACAAGGAGACTGTAGTGGAACACTCTGTAAACCTGACAGCTTGCTTTATGAAATCAACCTGACATTCAAACATCCCAAGCGTTCTTTGTTCAGGGGCTGAATGGTCTCTTTGAACGGTAAACACCCAATTATGTCCAGCTCCTTGAGTGAGAAGACAAGGCTTACCATAAATCCCCGACATGGTAACCAGGTAACAAAGAACAAAGAAAATTGTGCCAGGCTCCCTATTTTCTTGTCTTCTTTTCCCATCTCACCAGTAGTTTCTCGGCATCATGTAGTATGGGCTCACTAATATGAAGACAAAAACAGGAATGCATGAACTCATCGGGTGATCAAGGGATCCCAATCTGGCACTGGAACTCTTTTGGAAAGCACTGTAACCTTTCTTATTGTAAGCACACTGTGCTGAAAAATAAATCAATAAATATTCCTAATAATAATGGTACCTTTAGAAATAATAAGCACCAGGGGCAGCTAGGTGGCGCAGTGGATAGAGCGCCGGCCCTGAAGTCAGGAAGACCTGAGTTCAAATCCAGCCTCAGACCAAATGCTTGACACTTACTAGCTGTGTGACCTTGGGCAAGTCACTTAACCCCAATTGCCTAAAAACTAAAAACAAAAAACAAAAAAAACCCAAAAAATAAAAATAACAAGCACCAGGCTAAGAAAACTAAATTCTCTAAAACAACGTTGCCTGTAATTTGAGTTTTAACAGTGAAATAGATATAAGCAATGTTGGGGATCATGGAAGTTTCTTCTCACTAGAAACTGTGTAAGGATTTTTAAAATTATCCCAAAGGAGCTTAGCAAAAACTGTTACCTAATATCTGGCCAGCTGCTGTTTATCCCTTCCTCTAACTTGAACTTTCTAATTATAAATATGAACCATCTTTTTTTTAATTTGGTTGGTTAATCCATGCACCCTTCCAAGCACCCCAAGCCATATCTGCTCTTCCATCTCCTCAACCAGGCAACTAGAGGAAAAGATCCTCCCTAATTCTAAGGAGGAAGGAGGCAGAGATGTTTGTATGGCCAAGACTTGGCCATCATCAGAGGTTACTTCCTGAAGTAACCCTGGGGACCTGAAGGTGTGAAATTTATCTGAGAGTCCTTGAGAGACAGATTAGCTTCAGGTCAGGGAGGACTCAGCATGGTGCCATGGAAAGAGTGATGAACTTGGAGTCTAAGGACCTGGGTTCAAATCCCAGTGCTTACATTTACTGCCTGTGTGACCTTGGACAAGTCGCTTCATTCACTGAGTCTGAGTTTTATCATTTGTAAAATGAGGGGGTTGAACTACACGGAATCTAAGTCCTCAGCTTTAGAGCCTGGATCCTCTGTCACAGTCAGACTAAGCAACCTTGACTAACTTGAGTCATTTGGTCAAGTGTTTAAAATACATTTTATTATTTTAAAAACATTGTTTAGAAACTGTCCGGTGTTTTTGTGGCTTGCTTCAAAGCGACAGGAATAAAGAGTTTAGGAAGACAGACATTGTTAAATAGTGCACATGGTAATTCGTCGTGTGGGGTTTTTTGTTTGTTATCCAGCACTTTTGGTCCCTAAGACCCCTGAAAAACAGAATGTTATATAAACACAGGCTCTTAATCCCAGGATTTGGATTGGAATTGGAAATCCAAAAAACATAATTAATTTGGAAGCATTCTGAAATGCAACATTACGAACCTCTCTACAAGATCTCTTTATCAAGCCTTTGCAAGTAGCGTCCATCCCCTGTGCAGCAGCGCCTTCTCTGTCACCCTCAATGTTCTATTCAGAGCATCTTGTCCTCAGGGATCGATAGAGACTGGGATTTCGAATGCTAAACAGCCTCAGTGAGGTCAGACACACTGAAAGCCTCTTCACCTTCCTCAGCTTCTAGGGATGGAACCAAGGACTCTGGGGCTAGTAGGAAGGGTGTGGAATGCCTCCAAGTCTTGTCTTTTTGATTGCGTCTTTGAGCAAGTTTAGTCTGAGCTCACACAGGGCTGCAAGTGCAGCCATAAAAAGACATCACTTCGATGCTCCTTTCCCTTTTCTTGGCCTTTCCAATTATCTTCTGATGTTCTTCTTCAAGCTCAGGGCTTCAAGCAGTCTTTTTTTGCCCGTCCTGGTTAGCTGTCTGGGGGGGAGTTCACAGGATGGTGGAATGGATAGAAAGCTGGGTTGGAGACAGGAACATTTGGATCCTGCCTCTGATACATATTGACTTTGTGTCCCTGGGCAGGTCAATGAAGCTCTCAGGGCCTTCAGGCAACTCCCAAAGATTACAGGTTGTTGGGAAGGTGCTGACCGGCCTCAGTAGAAGGAGATTGCTCCTCTGGGATTCCCCTAAAACAATGAAATCACAGATCCCATTCTTTCCCTATTTGCTCTGATGTATAGCATTCTTATCCTTAATCTCAATCCTTCATGGGCATCTCTGAGGGTAGAGCAGTCCCGAGAAACTCTCCCAGTTTGTGCTAGTCACTGGATTTCAAGCACCCAAACCTCTAGCCTAGCCATTCTGTTCACTCTTTCAGGATGGAGGTTCCAATTCAGCAAAAGCACCACCTAATGGAGAGAGCCCACTCTGGCTCCTTCCCCTGGGGGAAGGCTTTCAAAGAAGGGGGAAAGGAGAAGACGGAACGTGGGAAGTCCAAGAAGAGACGTGGATGAGCTGGAGATGAGGGAATGGGATAAAATGAGCCCAGTAACCTCATCTTCCCTTTCAGAATTGCCAATGCTTCACTAATGCAGCATGACAGGAGGGAGCACCATCCGCTCTCACCCGACACCTAGCAGCCAGTTCCAACATCAGCAACAAACTATTTGAAAAAAGGAATCTCCTTCCATTACACTCAGCTCAGGATTAAGGAAATCATAGCAAATAACGTGTAATTTTGTGTTCTTTTTCCAGGAACATGGGTCACTTTTGGAGGTCAAATTTCAGATGAGGTAAGTAACTTTTGCTTTCCATTAAAAAAGAAAAATGGTCTGAAAATAATGTTGACCACGGTACTGCAGGGGCATTCAATTCCAGGCTGCTACACTATTGGATACTGGGATATTTCTATAAGACAAAATAGCTAAATATAATTAATATAGTATATAACTGCTTTCTCTTGCTTCGTTCATTTTGCAAATTGCCATGAGTATATGAAGCTTCTGTGGTTTTGTCACTGTGGTGGTACTCCTATTATGGGAACTCCCTCCATCAGTGCAGATCACAACCCTGTATGATAAGCCCTCAGAGTTACTTAAGGCACATAGAGATTGAGGAAACAAGGTTACACAGTTAGTATAAGAGGTAGAATGGGACAGTAAAATCTTCAAGACTCCAAGCCCCGCACTTTCAACACTACAATAGGCTGCCTCTGTTTCTGCAAATTTGTGCAGTCAGTAACATTTTCAGACTGGGGGCAAATAAAAATCTATCAAGTTACTCTAGGCTGAGTACCGGTCTGGGAGTGTGATAGTAAAAGTTTACCAATTGACTGGGGGGAGGGGTGTGTGCATACAACATACTTTTAAGTTTAATCTGCATTATTAACATTTTTTTATCCATCCATCACTTTTTTAATCCCAGACAATCAACAAAACAATAAACCAAACCATGATTTGTAGCATTTGGCAACTTCTGAGGTGTAAATACACAGAAAATTGGACAATCAGCTCACTTGAACTAGTTTGAGCTGGCTGTAGCACACCCTGGATATACCTGACCTTAAAGTAAACACGAGCTATGAAAATATGGATTTAACAAAACAGGCCAATGGGAAAGAAAGCATTTTGGATTTTTGGATTTTTTTTAACTTCAGGAAAAGATTCTTTGCTTTACAGATGGAATTTACCAAGGTTGTCCTTAAAAAGTCAACTCCTCTCACCAAGAACTCAGATGAGTTCAGGCCAACTTCACCCCAATGCCCAATGGCCAACAGAGTGTTGACCAGAGTGTCAGAGGTGTTGTCCTTCAGGGAAGCTAGTGGCACCTTCCCAGCATCTGTATATTTTTTCTCTGTGCCTGGGTGGGAAGTCAGCTTCCTGGCCTCCAGAAACAACAGAGGATAGACTCCAAGCAAAACAAGGGGGTTCGACTTGGTACGCTCCAGGGTTACTTTCAGCTTCAAATCTATAGTCCTACAACATAAAAGACTCCATTAGACTCCACTATAGGGGGTAAAACCTATGGCTTTAGAGTGGGACGACCTGGGTTTGATGCTCAACTCTGTCCCTTATTGCCAGTGCGATATTGGCCAAGTCACTGAATCTCTCATTTTCCTCATCTATAAAAGAAGGTTGAACTAGATGATCTCTAAATACCCTTCCAACTTGAAATCTGTGATCTTTTAATCCAAGGAAGCACAGATTTGTAATAAAAAAAAAAAGCAAACGCGGCCGATTCCCTGTGAATGCTCAGTGAACTGAGCTGTGCTGATCTCAGGCACCCCGCAAGGCCCCTTGTGGAGAGCCAGGCAGGGTGTAAGGGAGATGTTAAGGGGAATTCAGACGACTTAACTCTGGTCAGTTCAGGGCTTGGGGGAGAAAAAGTCAGTGAGACTGACTCCGCTGACTTCAAATAGTCAACAACCAGGGGAAAAAAAAGGCCCACAGTTAATGGCTCCCCATATTTAGCAAGTATGTTGTGAGATAGTGTGATGCTTAGGGAGGAGATGAGGAGAATCTTTTCCTATTGGAGTACAGGGTCATTCTGTAAGCTCATCTTCTCTCCAGCTGCCAGTACTTTTCCCTCTTGCAGCTGTTCCTCAGAAAATAAAGCAATATATGCTTACACACACACACACACACACACACACACACACACACACACACACACACCTCTTTTGTCTCTATATCCTCATGGTCTAGTACCAACCTGGCACAGCTTTATGCATAGCAGATGAATAACAAAAGTTTGTTCAGTCGGCACCTAGTCTAACACGTCACTGACCAAGAAGCCCCTCGTCCACATCCCCACCAAGAGGACGTCGGTCTTTTCCTGAAGACCTTTGAGGAGAAGGAATGGGGCAATCTGGTTCACTTTGTATAGCTCTAACTTCTACATCCTTGAAAGATCTAACAATGGGGATGACCTTGTTCAATGACCCTCTGAAGCAAATAGGGACACCTATGTTGGCCCAACCTGTTGACCACTGATTGCTGATCAATATGCAGCTATTCTTGTTTGGGGATACCACTGTGTGGGTAGTGTCAAGCCCTAGATATTGTTTTGGTTTTGGTTTTTTCAGCTAGGGATTTTGCTAGCAGTGTTTTCAGACTGAGAAGAAATTGGGGGCAGGATGGGTGGGCTGGCAAGTAGTGGGAGGAAGAATAGAATATACTTCTGGGCTTAATGGTGTCTCCCAAGGCAGTCAGTAGTGGTTTTTTGGTATTCCTCTTCCCCAAGGTCTCTTCTTCCAGTCTTCTTTCTTCTGAGAGATACTAGTAAATGTTTAACAACTAGCTCTCCAGAAAAACAAATGTGACCCCTAGATATTTCTGTCTCTATTTTACAGATTAAAATGAGACATGCTCAAGATCCTATAGGTGCCAAGCAGCACAGATTGTATTAGAATCCAAATCTGCCACACTCTTCCAGTTTTACCCCATGGCCTCTATGCTTTAGGAGCCTAGGACAGGAATTATGGATTAGAGCTTGAAGGGACCTTAAAAATCACCAAGTCTCCTCCATTCTCCTCCAGACTTCATTTGGCAGATGAAAACATTGGACAGGTAAAGGAGCTTGCCTGGACATTTCCAAAAGGAGATCATACCCTAGATGCCCTGGAGTGCTTATTGTTCAGGATGTGTCAATGTAACTCTAAATATAATCAATAAAGAACTCTGCTCTATTCAGAGAAGTGATGAAAAAAAATTCTCAATTCATTTTATATTTCCACTTGTTGACAAATATTCTGGGGAAATCTTAAATATTCATGCCATTCCTAGGCAGTTAGTTTCCTAAAAAAAGTCTTGCATGCTTTCTTCCTTGAAAGTTGAGCATAATTTTCATTAGGGAGATTTTTTTCAAGTCCCCGAAAAGAATAATTTGGCCTAGAAAGGCTGATGAAACAATATAAGTTACTGTCACCCAAATCATGGGAAAAGGCTAGTTTGAACAACTTGTGCCATCTGGAATTTCTGACAATTGACTTTTAGAGAGTTACAAGTAAATAATAAAAATTACATTATGAGAAATTAATTATTTTAGTAGCATTCCTGTTAAGAAAAAAACAAAAGCTTTGAAATACACTTGCAAATTTTGCGATTAAATTGTCAAGCAAATCCACAATAAAAAACCACAGATATAGAACTGGATGGGAGCCTAGAAATTAACTAGTCCAATGACCTCTTTTTACAGATGAGGAAACTGAGGCCCAAAGAAATGAGGTGACACAATATTGCAAGGTCACACAAGTAGGAAGTAAGCAAGGCAGGATTTCAAACCTGGTCTTCTGACTCCACGTCTGGTGATCTTTCTAGAACACTATCATGTTGGAAAGCTTGGAATCTCAGAGCTGGGAGGGATCCCAGAAGCCACAAAGTCCAAGGATCCCTGTTTGGGAGCCCTCAAATATCAGCAGTAAATTCTCATCAGGTCTCTTCTTGAAGGCCTCCAGTGAAAGGATCCTACTGCCTCTTAAAGCAGGTCTAGGATAGTTCCAATTTTTTGAATGTTTATCTTGATCTAGAGCCCAAATTCACTTCTCTGTAACTTCTACCCTTTGAGAGGCCTTCTGGGGCCAGACAGACCAAGTCTAATCCTTCTTTCACATGCCAGTCCTTCATATATTTGAAGACAAATGTCTTCTTCTGTCTTTCTTAAATTTTCTCTTCTCCAGACTAACTCTCCAGCTCCTTCAACTAATCTTTTAATAGTGTGGTACTCAGATCCTGCATCCTTTTACTTGGCCTCCTCTGGATGCCGTCTACCTTGTCAATGTTATTCCTAAAATGTGGCACCCAGAACTGAAAATAGTAGTTTAATTGTAGCTGACCAAAGGAAGAATACAGCAGTCCTGTCACCATCTTTAGGGCAGTTAGGTAGTATAATGGATAGAGTGCTAGGCCTGGAGTCAGAAAGACTCATCTTCACGAGTTCAAATCTACCCTCAGACATTTACTAGTTTTATAACCCTGGGCAAGTCACTTTACCTTATTTGCCTCAGTTTCCTCATCTATAAAATGAGCTGGAGAAGTAAATGGCAAACCATTCCAATATCTTTGCCAAGAAAACCCTAAGTGGGGTCATGAACAGTCAAACAAAACTGAAAAAACTGAATAACAAAAGTCATCATCTTTGCTCTAGACACCATGCCTCTTTCACAACGGCCTAAGATGACACTGACCTTTCTTCTGACTGCCATGTATTTAATACTATTTATTCATATTGACTTTGCAGTCAACTAATATCCCAAGACTGTTTTCGTAGATACTACTTCCTAGAAATAGCTTCCCATCCTAGATTTATGAAGATGATTTTTGGAACCCAAGGGTGGTATTTTACATTTATCTCTATTACATTTTATCTTAATAGATTTATCCCAATATTCTAACTTGCTGAGTCATTTTTGGATCTTGACTTTGTATGTGATTATGTTACTTAACTTAGTAAATAAGATTCCAAAGAATCTTTTTGTCCAAGAGATTTCATTTTCTTATGGAATATTACCTAAGCCTATAATTATAAGCCTAGCAATAACTGTAGTTATGGAATATGACCTGAGTTCATTATTAGGTAACAGCATTGGTCCCTATGACACCATGTTTAATTCTGGCAGAATAAAAGAAAATGACCACACAAAATTATGTGGAAATATGAGAGGGGAAGATTCATTGCATTATACACATTATATAACTTTTGGGGACTACAGCAGTAATTATCCCAATCAATTAAGCATTTATTAAATGTCTACTATAAGTTTCCATGGCAATATGCTAGATGCTGGGTATACAAAGGCAAATGAAAGTCAGTTCCTGCTTACAACAAGTTAACATTCTACTGGGAAAATCATGTTGCTTTTCTGGGACTCAAGAAGTGCCGTAAATGAACTCCCCAGTTAGATTTCAAAGTACTCAACTATGATTTAGTGATTGATGAGGGGATTGCTGGGCCTGGAAGCACAGCTGTCTTTTGTGGCTAACTCCATGTGTTTTCTCCAAGGTTGCTGAAAGACTAATGACGATTGCTTATGAGAGTGGAGTCAACCTCTTTGACACAGCTGAGGTGTATGCTGCTGGCAAGTAAGTACTCGTTCGCATTTGGGGGTAGTATTCATTGAAGGTGTTGTTTGGGGGGTGGATTACCTATTTGAAGGGCCCATGGCAGGAAATGGTCACCCCTTTAGGAACACTTAAAATTGTTGTGCTCTCACTTCCCTTCCCACTTGCCAAGATGACTTGGTCACGTACCAGCTACTTTCCCTTACAGTCTTTGCCCTCTTGCTTGCTCTTACTTCACAAACTTGTTACTATGACACTACCCTCACAATAGTCACTCTGTAGAAAGAGGAGAGGGAGCTGATGTTCTATACCGTTCCTCTCACACCTACTAACAACAACTGGGTTGTGTAGCACTATAAAGCATGGTGTGATTGTGTGTGTGTGTGTGTGTGTGTGTGTGTGTGCAGAAAGGGGGAGTGGGACCAGGCTAGGGGTTGAACCCAGATGATCACATAAAATTAGACCTGGATAGGCTATCTGACCTCAAAGGCTTTCTTGTCCAACATTACTCAAACAAAAATCCTCTCCAGTCACTTAGTCAGTCAACAAAGTTATTCTAGGCATAAGTACAATGTACTAAGTGTTGGGGCTACAAAGAAAGTGCCCTTAAGGAGCTTATATTCAATAAGTGCCACCCAGCCTTTGCTTGAAGACCTATAGTGAAGTAGAAACTACTGTCTCCTGAAGCCGTCCATTCCAGTTTGGGACAGCACTAATTGGGAGGAAGCAATCTTCATTATTGTTGTTGTTGTTTTAAAAAAATTATTGATAGCTTTTATTTTTGTGCTCCCAAGAATTTCTTGATAGGTCCCACCCCCAGTTAAAATGTTCTTCTTAAGTCTTGACAACTTCTGCCCAACACCTCTAGAGGCCCCTCCTCATCTGGTTCACTATATCCTGGACACTAACTTATTAGTGCCTTTAGTAAAATGTGGTGGCCAGAACTATGGTTTGACCTAGACCAGGCACAATGTGGCCATCATCTCCATAGGGCTGGCTACTATGCTTCTCTTGCCACAGCCTAAGACTGCAGTAGTTTCTGGGGCTATCATATCATTCTAGTGAATCAGATTCAATTTGTATTTCACTGAAATGCCCAGATCTTTTTTCAAATGACTCACAAAAGCTCACCATCTTGGACTTTTAGGTTTGATTTTTTTTTAACCAAATGTGAACAAGTAGCCTATGACTTCTTCCCAGAATACCACCAGCATTCTGGGCTGGCCCCACCAAATCTTGGGACCCAATATCTCTTAATACCAGGTTGAGCTGCACAGATACTGGGTCCCAATTCAGTGAAGAGGCACTCTTTAGACTAGAATTAAGGGAAACATTCCATCTATTTCACTCCAGAGTAGATTTCAGGCTCCCTAGTAATTAAAGAAATGGATAATCACCTCATTATTTTAACAGCCTCTGAAAATGTTCAAAACTCTACAGTGGGTGATAATTGGCTGCAGTTCTAATTCATCACCTTCCAGGAGAGAACACAATCAAGCTATATCACTTGTTGGATGAGACATATCAATGCCTGACTTCTGTGCATTCTGTTTCATTTGGTATTTCGTTCTCTAGGGAGAAGGACTTTTGTTTAAGGGTCATTAAGAAGGCTGAGAATTAGTGCCTCTGATTTTCCCTGTTTCCAAGGATAAAATAATAATTATAATAACTGATTTCTTCTCAGACTCCTTTCAGCCTAGATACAAAGTTCTTTTGAGGTTCTTATTAACAGAATGTTTCCCACATATTGTCTTCCTTTCCTCTACTTTATGAACACCGTTGAACTCTGTAAAAAATAAGGGCAAAGAGGCATGATATTAATTGCAGTGGCATAGAGTTGGAAGGGACCATAACAGGTCACTGAGGCCAACCTCTCTCCCACTGTAGCTAATGCCCATGGCAGTTGTCTGGGCAGCCTTCTCTTTCCATTCTACTGAATATATGGAAGAGCCGATTTTAGTTGATGCTTGTTAAGTTCAGAATTTTTTTAAATGGGAAAAATAACATCTATGGCCTCTGATCATCCAGCTTCTTCTTAAATATTCGCAGTGGCAAGGAACTTACTGCTTCACAAGAAGTCCATTTCATGGACAGGAAGCTCTAATTGTTAGGGAGTTGCTTATATTGTGAAAAAATCTGGCTCTGTGACTTCTACCCATGATACCTAATTCTGCCCTTTGGAATTAAGAAGAAAAAAAATCTAATCCCTCTTCCACATGTCAGTCATTGAAAAGAGCTACCATGTCCTCCCCCAACTCTCACTGTCTTCTCTGCTTCAGGGTAAACATCCTCTGTTCCTTCTACCAGTCCTCATATGGTATGGGTTTAAGTACCCTCTGCGTCCTGAGTTCCCTTGGCTGAACACACTCCATTTTTTTTCTCCATCTCTTAGAATGTGATCCCAAGACCTGACCAAAATATCCCAAATACAGTGTTCCTATTATGGAGTACAATAGAACTAAGACTCCCGATTTGGAACACTATATTTGTATGAATACAGGTTAAGGTTGCTAGAACTTTTTGGCTCCCATACAACATCATTAATTCATATTAAGCTTCCAGCCTACAAGATATTCTGAGTCTTTTTTCACATGACCTGCTTACCCAGAGGAGAGAGTGTCCAAGAGGGCACAGTGATCAACAGTGTCAAACATTGAGAAGAAAGAAGAGTGAAAAGAGCTATCAGCTTTTGCAATTAAGAGATAATTAGGAGGCACATTGGCAACCAATAAGCATTTATTGAGTGCTTACTATGTGCAAAGTATTTTGCTATGTGCTAAGGATACCAAGAAAGGCAAAACTAGTCCCTGCTCTCAAGGTGCTTACATTATTGGTGGAGCTATGAACTAGTACTATCAAATGATAGTAGAAGAAATTTGAAATTATGCAAGTAAAATAATTGTAAAATGCCCATACTTCTTGACCTAAAGATTCCATTGCTAAGCATATACCCCAAAAAGAAGAGGCAGACAGAGAAAAGAAGAGGACAAAGATGATGAAGAAGATGAAGAAGAAGAAAAGGAAGGAAGGAAGGAGGGAAGGAAGGAAGATTCCTATATACACAGAAATGTTGGTAGCAGGACTTCTTGTGACATCAAAGACCTGGAAACAAAGTAGATGCCCATTGATTGGTGAATGGCTAAACAACCTATGGTACAAGAATGGAATGAAATATCCTTGTGCTTTAAGAAATGATGAAAATGATGAAAACAGGGAAGCACAGAAAGGCTTACATGAGCTGATGCAAAGTGATTTAAGCAGAGCAAAGAAAACAATAAATACAATGACTAAAACAATGTCAGTGAAAAGAATGGCAACCACCAAAGAATCAAAACTGAATGCACAGGTTGAGGGGGAGGAGGGATCCCACAAGTGTGAAACATTGTATAAAATGTCATATTTTTTAGTGTGTCCTTCAGTTTTGTGGAATTTTTCCTCTTTTCTTTCTTTCTTTTTTTTAAAGAATTCTTTGTTATAAGTATGATTCTTTGGGAGAGAGCAGGAAAAAGAAGATGGGTCTAGGTGATGTAAAATCAAAATCAGTAAAAATATATTTTTATAAAGAAATCATTGGTAATTTGGGGGAGGACAGTTTCAGTTGAATGATGAGATCAGAAGCCAGATTACAGATGGTTTAGAAGAGAGTAAGAAGAAGCAAAGTAAAGGCCCTGCATGTTTTAAGGAGTATGGCAAAGAGAGAAGAGATATAGAACTAAAGCTAGCAGAAGTGGTGGGAGCTAGAGAGGGCTCTTTAAGGATGAAGGAGTCCTGAGTGTATTTGTAGCCAGTAGGGAAAGAACTAGTAAATATAGATTGAAGATGAGAGGGAGAAAGGAGATGGTAGTGGGAGAAACTTTCCAGAGAAGAGAGGAGAGATCAATGATACATACAGAAGAGGAAGGCCCCCTGCTTCCTCAGAGACAAGAGTAAAGGAGGAAATAGTGAACGACAGTGTCAAGGGCTTGTGAAATGAAAAGGAAAGAAGAAAAAGCACCTGGACAATGGTGAAGACTGAAGCTGAGGGGGTAGAAAGTCTTGAGTAAAACAGAGGAAGCCTCAAATAGCTTCTTTGGGGAGAATCAGTCAGGGAGGAATAAAAGGATTGCCTTCTGCAATATGAGCGCAGCTGAGATTAGCTAACATAAATTTAATTTGGACTCATGGTTGTGTGACTTCCTCCATCGCCATTCAGCAGCACATGAATAAAATGAAAGATGGTAACAGTAATCGAGAATTGGGCTTTATCAAGGCATGATTAATGATAGGACAAGAAAGCAAAGGATTTGTATATAAAGGACAATGTAAAACTACTTCATTTAAAATGAGAAAGGAAGGGGAAGGGAAAAAACATTATGAAAAATGATTTCTCTTGGTAATCTCTTGGAGACTCAGAATTCCACACTGCCGGCCTTCCAAAAGTTGTCCAGAAGTCGTTGAGAAGGACATCTCTCTGATAGTGAGATTACATTGAATCTTCTTATCTTGGTCAAACTCCAACCCAGGTCTGAATTGATTTTATCCTATTCAGGTTTGGGTGGAGACAGACTTCCAAGACTACAGGTGGTATTTCCTTTGATGGCCCAACTGACTGATCTATGGAACACACCCACCTCCTAGTATGTCAACCAATCATGGTTGACTGGCACCCCCTTGGGAATACCTACTCTTTGAAGGGCATAGAATGCTATGCCCCCAAATCCCAAACTGAACCAGTTTTGAAGTGACCCTGTTAGGGGGCCACAGTTTTGGACTGAACTCCCATTCAATGCATGTTAAACCACTTTGAGAAATTAAACCATGGACACATGTACCCCAATTTCATTTGTCTCTTTCTCAGAGAAGACTCTGCTTCAGGTTGGGGTTCATAGAGTTGGTGAGGTTTGGGGTTCACAGCATTTATATAGCTCTTTCTCTGTGCCAGACACTGTGCTATAGATTTTACAAATATTACCTCATGGGTTTGAAATTAATTAGGAAGGAAAGGGCAGGGTATAACCAGAGTGGAAGTGATAGCTTGGGAAAGAGGTAAGGAGGAACCAAAGGTCCCAATGAGGGTGACTAATGGGGTTAGGAGGAATAAAGCATAGGAAGGGTGAAATGATAGGAGATCGGGATCAGAGGTTTTGCATAGAAATGGAACACTTGTGATTGATGGCCAGATCAAGGCTATGACATGGGAGTAAATGAGGTCAAGTGAAGAAGAAGGTCATGGGAACTGAAGAAACTGAGGAGCTAGGAGGTTAGGGCACTTGAGGGAATATCAACATATATGTTGAAATCCTCTTGTATTAGGGCAAGAGTTAGGATTGGAAGAGAGACCGTTAGCCAGACACTGAACTCCTGAACTCATTGAGAAATAGTAATAATAACAACATTGTGCTTTAAGTTTTGTAGAGCACTTCATATGTGTTATCTAATTTTAGAAAGAAGGGAGAATGTCCTGGGGGTGAGTCAGTAACTGTCACTAGGATCTGGGTTGAGGGATAAATTTGGAGAGAAGAGATTGCTTAGTGTTGGTGTTAGAGGGATAGTATAGAAGTGGCAATGGGGGGGAGGGGAAAAGTATTATTCAGACTCCAACACTGGGACCAGAGAATGGGGCAAGCAGTGTATGTTTTGGGAGGGGTTGGGGGGCTAGTTATGAAAGAAGGCATAGCTAGTACCTGAAGGGAAAGCCAGGGAAGGGGAAATCAGGTCTTATTGAGAGCCAGAAGATGGAAGGAATATGAGAGGAATAGGAAAACACTGAAGCATGTTTTTCTGTTCATTCTAGAGCAGGAGTTCCAGAGGACACAGCAGACAGGATGACCGATATGGAATGAGACTAGACCTTGGAATGATAAGGTTGTGGTAGATAGGAAGGAAAGATGGGGCATCAGGTGCTAGGTCATTCTTGAGCAGTCAGGAATGTAGTATAGCCAGATTGGGAGTTTAAGGGGAGTTTAAGGGGGGTCAGAGACTGCTAACCATTGGGGAATGAGTCCGAGCATTGTTTTAGGTAATGGAATAAGCTTCACCAAGGAAGGCAGATAGGTAGAGTGGTCTTGCTCTAGCGTCTTCTCATCTGGCCTCATGCCTTTGCTCCGAAGTCTAGGGGTCTAACATACCTCTTGTTTCTGGAGCCGCAGGTATCTGTTCTCTCTCAGTTTTCTGTCCAAATAATTCTGTCCATTTTTCTTCTCTCATCACAATTTCGAATGAGATTTAATATTCCAAGTGGGGAAAATGGGGAGGACTGAGAAACCAAAGCCACAATTAGAAGGAATCCATGATTCCGACTTGACTTTGCCAAGGGTGATATTTCTAGCCAAGGCCAAAGGGCTTCTTAGAGACAGAGAGAGCAGGCTCCCTCCCTCCAGGAAGCCAGCAGTTGGCAGGCTCCCGGGCCTGTTCCGTAGCTGAGTTCTGCAGGCACCAGCAGAAACAGCGGAAATTGTGAACACAAGCAGAGTACAGTCTATTTTAAGAGCTCTGTGACTGAACACTCAAACAAGGAATAGGCTTTAAAAAATAGACTCGTGCCTTTCCAGGATGTGATACTAAAGCATTCTCTCTTTCCATCCTCTGCTTTAGGGCTGAAGTGATCCTTGGAAGTATCATCAAGAGGAAGGGATGGAGGTATGGTTCGTTACCAGGACGGGGTTGCTTTCTACCCGGGCAAAACAACATAGGATGGATGGTAGGGAAGGGGTCTGGAAGAGGACAAGTCAAAGAACAAAATTTCAAGAAACAGAAATTATTCTGATGATTAAATGACAGGGGATAGGATCCTTAGAGTGTCCCAAGAAATGACCAAACAACCACAAAGTATAACAAATAGCTAGAGGACATGCTTTTCAGGCAAGATAAGACAAAAGCTCACCTCCCAAAGCCCAGAGTCCAGGGATCTGAGTCTAGGTTCTTGGGAAAGGAGGATGAGGATGGCCAAAATGCAGGCAAGTCCCGCAACCTCCCTGGGCCTCAGTTTCCTTATCAGTAAAATGAGGAGGTTAGGCTTCTAAGGTGCTTTCCCACTCTAGGTCTATGAGCCAATAGGCTTGAGCACCGCATGAAGGAGCTTTTCACAGTATTTTCATGGCTTCTGGACTCCCCCTCCCCTAATTAAGAGATAAGCGCTAGCAGGCAAGATGCAGATTAATTAAACAACTATAGGCTTTCACTGTTTATTTTGCTAATCTCCCTGCATACAATGAAGTGAGGAAGCCAAAGCCTTGGAGATGAATCCTGTGCCTGTTTATTTATCTGCACAATTGTGCTTTGATCTCCTTCCTCCTTTATTCCAAGGGTGTGGAAGAAATTATAGTGATAGTAGCTGATATTTATGGAAGATATAAGAAGGATAGCTGAACTGTATGTACTTCAAGACTTACAAAGCACTTTACATATATTTGCCAATTTGACCCTCACAAAATCCCTGTGAGGTAGCTAGAAGGATCATTATTTCCATTTTACAGGTGAAGAAACTGAGGCTTGGAGAGATCAAGCAACTTGCCTCAGGTCACACAGCTAGTCAGTGTCAGGAATACAATTCGAGTTTGTCTTCCTAACTCTCCTCCTGTCCTAAGAAACGCAGGTTATGAAGAAGCCTCAGACCATCTAGTCGGACACCCATTTTTACATATGTGGATAACAAAGACTAAAAAAGTTCAATGATTTGCCCAAGATCACACAGGCAGTTGCTGGTAGAGCTTAGATTTGAATGAGATCTCTGGTTCCCAAGCCAGCACTCTCTCCTCCATACCACCTTGAGTGCTTTGGTAAGTCAAATAGGCAGGGAACAGTCCCTTCTTTGGAAATAAGCATTGGTCATGACAGCCCACTCCTTCCCCTGCACAGGGAGCAGAATCAGGTTAAGGGCAGGAAAGCCCATCATGACCCATCTCTATCTTCCTTCTTTTTAGCAGAACATCCACTGACAGTCGAGTAAAGAAGGGTACCAGGAGTCCTTAGTGAGAACAATTTAGCAGAGTCCACTTCGGGGGCACCTCCATGCACATGCTTTGTATTCACTTTTGGGCTCAGTCTAGGAAAGTGTCTAACTCCAGAAGCTGGTCTCAACCTACCCTTCCCTTCAGCCCTGTTCATTCCTCTTCCCTCTAGGCTGTTCTTAGGCAGTGAAAGGAGATGTGCCGCTGAAGAGCCATCTGTGTGGTACATTTACCTTGTCTGTTTTAGCATGATCACTCTCCCCGTCATCCCTTGGAAGTGGTCAGTGAGAATGTGGATTCATGCAGAAATGGATTCTCCTTTCCCCCAGTGCTTTCTTTTATTGCATGGGTCAGATAGCATCCACCAAGTACACCAGCCTTGGTGTACTTGTACACCTGAAGTGCAGGCACCTGATGAATGGACCATCCAGAGTGCAATCACACAGGGACTCAGATGGGCAGAAACCATGCTTTTCTGAAGATACAGTTGCTATATCTTGGGCACAAAAGGGAAGCTTGCACACTGCCCATACCCAGGGACATTTGCTATGGTTTACCTATATGCAAAGGTGAAAAAGAATTCACAGAATCATGACTCTTGAGATGGAAAGGAACTTAAGGGTTATCTTCTTCAATACCCTCGCTTCACAAGTTGAGGAAATTGAGGCTCAGGAAGGGTGTGACTTGCTTATGGTCGGAAAGGTGAAAAGTCAGAGGCAGGATTTGAGTCCTGGTCCTCTGACTCAAAAATTAATACTTTTCCTCTCTACCAGTCAAATTTACTTGTTCCATGGTCCATTCCAGCCCCACCATAGTGGACAGAATTAGTTCAAATGCATGAAACTCCATTATATGGGCTCTATCTTGCTTTCCTTGTTTGTCAAGGTATACATGGACAGCCAAACAAAACACTGTGCAGTCATTCTTGATACGGAGGACTCGGTGGGGTAGGGGATGGAGAGATGGCCTGGAAGTCAGAATGACCTGGCTTAAATTTCCATCTCTGTCTCTTACTAGCTGTGTGACCTTGAACAAGTCACAACCTCTTGGTGCCCTAAGCAACTCTGCAGGTCTGTAAGTTTCAGAAAAGGTGCTGATCCACATCAGGAGAGAGAGTTTCTTTCCCTGGGAATTCCCTATATCAATGAAATAGATCCAGTCCCTGTCCCCACCACCATCACCAGTGAGGACATTTTTTAAAAAATCTGCTCTATATAGCTATCTGCCTGTATATGTTCACTGTTTAGCAAATATACCTGCACTCATATTTTTAGATATAATGCATACGACATAGCAGTCTTGCAAATGAATGCCAAAGCAATCAGCTAGCCACAAACTGTTCTCACCAGTTTATGTATGCCCCATGAGGCTGGTGATAAAATAAACAGCTTTTCTTTCCTCCTCCAACCTAAGAGTTATTACCCCATAACGACACATGAGCAGAGGGCTATTTATGATTGTTGTCTCTACTTGTTATTTTGAAGTCTAAAACATAGCGTATGGCCCTTAATCCAAACCTCCAAAAGAAAGCCCACATCTCACAAATGAGCAAACAATAGCTTTCTGAATGTTCTAAGTAACTCATTTTAATAAGACAGTGAGACTTTTTCATAATGGCTCTGAATAATCATGATCATTGCCTCAATAACATTTGATGCCTTGTTGGAGTTTATAAAAGGTGGAGAAATATTTCTAAAAGTCTCATTACATAAAGTGGAAGATTTGTTTTTCCTGTGATCCGTTGTTGCTCTAATAAGCCCCAAGAAAGCGAGAGATAAGCGTGAGAAGTCCATCTCTCATGGAGTCTAGAAACTGAGAGGCGTAGGAGGGAAAGGACTTCACCAAGGTCATACAGGTTTCCAAATGGGACTTTGATCCAGATAACAGACTTGTAGATGTCAAGGTGGAAGGGACCTTGGAGGTCATCTAGTCCATTTCTCCCATTTTACAAATGAAGAAACTGAGGCCTGCAGAGCTGCAGTGCCTCGATCATTGTCACACAGAATTAGCAGCAATAATGCCTGCTCACCCATATGGGCAGATCCTCAACAACTGTCCTTCAAGTTAGTTCGTAAGCAATCCAGCAGGTACAGGAGGGAGCTGATGGCATTTTCTGCAACCTTTCCTCCGCACAACCACCTTGTTTGAATCATCAACACAGTCTGTGTTTGTTTTCATCACCATAGTGAATTTTGATGGGGGTTTTAATGCCCCAGCATCAGCACCTCTTGCTCAGTAGGTGGAGTCATAGATACCACTAATTTAAGAGCTCTCCAATTGTTTGAAGTCTTTGAAACCATGATCAGGGATTTTCTTTTTCCTGGAAGGATCAAACTGAATTATATATCTCAAGAAATAAAATCAGTCTCCTAGGTAAGCCTCCTAAGAACATCTCATGTTCTGTGAACCTCAAGAGATGCTTGTCATGCCAGGAATGCCCATCACTAGGGGGACCTGCCTACGTGAGGTAGCTTATATTTTCTTCCCATAATCCCTGGTCTTGTATTGCCTGAAAGTCAGATGTTGGAACTTTGAACCAAAGATTACGCAACTGTTTTACTAAAAGCAAGTTGTCCTTTGTTCAAGTATTTAAAGAAACCTTCAGTCAATAAATATCATTACTATTATCACAACTTGTATTTAATGTTAACTTGGCCAAATCCTGCTGATAAATGTTATCCAGTTTAGAAGGTATGCTAGCTAACCTTTGGGAACCACTAGGGCTATTGGCCGTGGAAAAGGAGTATGAGTCATTCCCTCCTGTCCCTTCTCTAGGAGGTGGGGATGGATTGATGTCTATAGTAAATGCATCTGGGAGGTTCAGTGGATAGAGCACTAGCCTTGAAGTCAAAAAGACCTGAGTTCAAATCCAGCCTTAGATACTTACTAGCTGTGTGACCCTGAACAAGTCACTTGACCTCTGTTTGTGTCTGTTTCCTCATCTGTGAAACTGAAATAATAATAGCACCTCTCTCTCAGGATTGTTGTGAAGATTCAATGAAGTATCTGGAAAGTGCTTTGTAAACCTTCAAGTACTATACAAATGCTAGATTTTATTAGATTAGATTATTATTAGATGGTTAATAAATTAGCTAAAGTATTTGCCATGGGAGCAACCTATTCATGTTTCTAAAGGGTGCTTTTACCAAGCCATCCCTACCCACCATCACTGCGTAGCCTTCCCTACCCACTCTCACTCCCCATCGGCCCTTCGTGCCATCACTTAATGACACCGACCCACCCTTCCTATAACATTCTGCCACCCATGTTCAACTCCTCCTCTTCACCTTGCCCTTCGTGGCCAAACTTCAATGATACCAGATGAACATTTTACATTTTTAAGTAGATGCTTCAAATATGAAACATCAGGTTCTGTCTGATAGTATTATAATATTGTTGCATGGGCTTTATCTTGACACTGATCTGGTTTTTTCTTGGTTTTATTTTTTGATGTGCAGGAGATCCAGCCTGGTCATAACAACCAAACTCTACTGGGGTGGAAAGTAAGTAGATTATATCTAACCCTCCAGCCTAACAGGACTCTTCTGTAGTAACACATTTAGAAAACAAGTTTTATTCACTTATTGAAATCCATGGAAGTAATCTTTTTCTCCCCTAATGGCAATATGTGAAAAGTGAATGTTTAATAAAGTAATTGGCCTTGCATTAGACCTGGGCAAAATAAATCCAGAGAAATGGAAGATGACGCACCAGCTTTGTGGGATGCTTGGGAAACCAAGGAGATTTCCAAACGGTATTTTCACCTCTGGTCCTGATTGTAAATCACATTTCAAGTTTCAGCAAGAGCAAATAAGCACAAATCTTCTGAGGAGGAAAGCCCCTCCAACGAGCCAAAATGCACAGCAGTTTTATTGCAAAGTGAGAAATATTTGGCCTGCTCCTGGGTTTGTGCTGTGATCCCTCCTCCCTGCAGTGAGCTTGGAAAACTACAGTCCCAAGCACCATCTCACTGGAGACACAAATGGGGTCTCTATGTCACTTGTGGTCAAGCCAAATGAAAGAGAATGGCTCCCTTTGTTGTGGACATGCTATCCAAACTTGAGTGGATGACTTGGTCCTTCTACTGGTCCCTTCTTGCATTTCAAGTTGTAGACACATTATTCAACAGAATAATGTAGGCCGGACTTTCAGAAAAACACATAACCCTGTAATCTCTACCGTCTATCAGTGGGTTTGATTGCCCCGTGCTATTGTCCTGAAAGATGGAAAGCCAAAGGGTCTGGAAGCTCCTTGTTAACTACCTGTGATTGATAGATTGATAAAAATCCAGAGGAAAGAGTCTTGTCTAGACTATTCCACGAAGAGAGAAAATATGTTTTTTCCTTGATTCTTTGAAGCTGCTCACAATGAATATGAAATTGGGGAGATAGAATTTAGATTTATACTCTAATGCAGTCTGAATATAAATAAAGCAGCACTACATATGAATAATGGAGATTTATAGCATCTGCCTTGTTCTATTTTACTAGGCTATTATTTTGGCTTTTGCCGAGGACCCAAAGCCTGGTTTATATTTTAGAAACTGCACAGAGGAGACAACAGACTGGGAGAATGATTGCTTCGTTGAGTAATATAGTGTTATCTAGTTTACATAAGAAATAAGGACTGGATAGTTTATTGTCAACTTTTACAATAGTGGCTGTCCAAAGGAAATTGGTGCAGCAGACACATTTTATCCACAATTTAAATTTATGGGCTGGTAGACTCCCTCCTGCTTACTGTACTATGCGGGAGAAAATCCTAAGAGCCATGATCTTGTTGGGAACCTGAACTATGGCAGACCAGCCACTTTTAATTGTTTAGAAGAACATATATTTCTAAGCAGTCTTATTTGGTTAAAAGGTGACTCCCAAATGTAAACAAGGTGGGAAGTCTGAGGGAACCCCGGATTGCAGGGTGAGCTCCCAGAATCAGGAGGAGGACAGCAAGGAATTGAGCTGTGGCAGAAAGGCAAGGCTTCCCAAAGGAGGCAGCGAGGTATAATGCTGGCTTCAGAACCCAAGGGCCTGCATTCAAATTCTAGCTTTGCCACTTATGAGCTCTAGAACCTTGACGAAGTCAATTCACTTCTCTGAGACTCATTTCCTCATCTACAAAAACGTTTTGTAACACTTGGTGAATTGAAAATGTAAATTATTTTTATTAAAATGAAATGTTTAGGGGCAGCTAGGTGGCACAGTAGATAGAGCTCCGGCCGTGGATTCAGGAGGACCTGAGTTCAAATCCGGCCTCAGACACATAACACTTACTAGCTGTGTGACCCTGGGCAAGTCACTTAACCCCATTGCCTAACCAAGAAAAAAAAAAAGAAACTAACAAAATGAAATGGTTAGAATAGATCAAAGGGCTCTTACCATTTGGGGAGTCATAGGTCACTTTGGCAGTCTAGAAAAGCCTATGGAGGATCTCTTCTCAGAGCAATGTTTTTCAGAACATAAAATAAATACATAAGATTGCAAAGGAAATCAATTCTATTGAAATACAGGTATCAAAATATTTTTAAAAAACCTGTCCACAGACCCCAGGTCTGATGTTAGTCAACCTCTGACATTTCTTCAGCCTCTGAAATCTATGCTCTGGGTTTCCTTTCACAGAGGAGTCAATTGTATCTGCATCATGGGGTTCAACAAAATGGGGATCAACAAATAATTTTTGGGAGAGCTCACCAGTTTTTTTTTAATTTGAAATTCTTCATTACTAAATTATGCCTCAGTCTCTATGGAAAACAATAATGATGCTGTGATAACAATAATTAATGTTATTACATATAATTATATTAATAACACTAATAGCTCACATTTACATAGCAGTTTACCATTTACAAAATGTTTTCCTCATAATAACTCTGTGATGTAAGTATAAGGGACATTACTCCACTTTACATATGAGGAAACTGAGGAACAGGGGCTAAGTGAGTTACTCTGGGTCAAACAGCTAGTGAGTATCCAAGAGATATGGCTCTTACACCTTAAGAACAAAGTGAGGCATGATGCATGCTTACAAAACAACTAACATATTCCTTCTTATTTGGCTAATGACCTCAGAAGTGATGTTTTTGCTTCCGCCTCTGATGTTTCCCAACATGATTCTGTTATGAACACTTGATCTATAGTTCTTGCTGAAGTGAATGTGAGAAACAAATGTTTGCCTACCCTCTTTCTGGTGCAAATCATCATCAACCTGCCCACAGTGGTCAGTAACTTAAGAGACTTAAGGACGGGCACAGAACTGCTGGCTGGCCACTTTACCCAGCATTCCCAAATTCGAGTCTTTTCTGCCAGGTAAATTACCTGGCCAGCAGCTCAGTTCCTCCCTCAAGGCTCTCCAATTACTGGCAGAGCAAAGATGGGCTTCATCACCAAGGAAACTTCAGTCACTCTGTATGTAATAGATTTATATTTGACACTGTGCCTTTGAAGCAATTAAGTTGTTTGATTAAAGTCATCAGTGCCCATCCTTCTTCTACCCTGCTCCCAAAGAAAAGAACATAGGGAGAGTTGAAACTCTATTAAACCATATGTGGGTGCTGTGAATGCCCCTGAGTTACAAGGGAATAGCAGCATTGTTGAGGATAAATGGTAATGTCCTAATTTATCTCACTGGGACTTCAATGAAAAAGTTCACCGAGAGCCAGCCTCCTCACTGGTCTCTACCCGCCCAGCATGCAGTATTTGCCGAGAACAGTGTATAAAATTAGCAGGTCTGTCTAAGTGAGAACATTTTTCTTCAGTACTCCTAGAACAGGAAAAAAAAACCCATCCAGCAGCCACCCCCACTCACAGTCATTTGCCTCTTTTATCTTGGCAGAGCTGAAACGGAAAGAGGATTGTCACGAAAACACATCATTGAAGGTGAGTACTCTTTCTTACCCACTGTATTTTGTGAATTAATGATTCAGGAAAGGAAAGCATTTGACCGGTGAAGCCCCAAACAGCCTGGAGAGTCACCCTAATACTCACATAAAAGGACTGTGGTTGTTCCAGCTTCCATAAATTTAGCCAAAAGGAAAAAAAAAAGATGGAGCTATCTAAAAGATTGTCATGGAGGCTGCTACTAGTATGATGAAAATGGGACCCAGAGGCAGCCACACTTTTCTGCAGTAGCCTTGCACAGACCAAGAATTCCATAAGCTCCCCTTTCTTGTCAAGAATGAAGGCCAAATTGTAGAGCTACAGTTGAAAGAGACCTTATAACTCATTATCTAGTGCAAGGTCCTCATTTTACAGATGAAGAAACTGAGGCCTGGTGACTTGCAAGGTGACTTCTCCAAGACCACACAGGTAGCGAGTGGCAGAGTTGGGGGGAGCTCGGTTGATATAAAACCCATCCATATCAGCCTCCTTTCCTCTGCCCCTGAACCATCCTGCCCACTGCACGGTTCTCAGTCTACTCATTGAGTCATCAACACAGCCTGGAATATATTGGAAATGGAAGAAATATTTCCAATTTGGAAGCTAGTTGAACTCTCTTGTACAGAGCTTGAAAAGGAAAGTCTTTGATAGAGAGGACAGTGATTCTACTCGAATTTACGGAGTTCTTTGAAGCCAGATTATCATGTTATCTCATCGGATCCTCACAACAACCCTGTAAGATCTAGGCTATTAACCAGGGTCTGTTTAAGAAAGCCACTCCACAGGGACAGTGTTTCTGTCCACACCCTTGTTATCTCTTGGAAGTGAGAAATAATGTTTCCTAAGTTTTTGTTTTAAAAGATAGAATTTCATTACTCAGGGAGACTCCAGAAAAGTTTTCTCGATCTTTTTTCATTAATTTGGTGGTCACCCTTCCATTCTTCCTCTCAGTTCTCCCTTTGTTTTCTCTTTTATCTCCTCATAAAAATGTGGCTCTTCTAGTCCTTACTCTTGATTTATTTTCACTTGTTCCTTTATTCAATTCAATTCAACAAACCTTTATCCAGTGCTTGCTATAAGAAGGGCATGGTGCCAAGCTCCTGGAGATACCAAGAAAAAGAAACAAACAAAAATTCTTGAAACCATCCCAGCCCTCAGGGAGCTTACAATATATGCATAGATGAGTAAATAGACATAATATGAAGTCAGTCAGAACTTTCCTTTGACTCAGCAGATCTCCCTGTATTTTTTTTTTACTAGACTATTAGGGTTTCTGCCCACTTCTCTCCTCCCATCCAGGAATGCCCATGCACTAGGCACTTGTTAAATCTTTTGCTTTAATGCCATTTCTTACCCTTTCCTTAAAGAATGTACTTACATAAATTTAATTCAATAAGTATTTATTAAGTGCTTACTGTCAGGTCCCAAACATTTCCAAAGAGTAGGACCACCTATATTTTATCTATCTGCATGGAAATATTGTAATAGATATAAGAATTATCATTATTGCAATATTGTAAGTATAATGGTATACTTATATTAGCTTACATAATTATATTAATTAATAAAATCATTATTATGTAATAATAATATAATATGACATAAATATAATAGCACTTTAAGGTTTATAAAGCACACTATAAATATTATATCATTTGATCCTCGTAACAACCCTGGAAGGTAGATTTTATAATGATCCCCATTTTACAGATGAAGAAACTGAGGCAGAGGTTAAGTGACTTGCCCAGGCTGAGCCTGGATTTGAACTCAAGCTCCAGCACTCTATCCACAGTGCTAACTAGGTTGTTTTATTTTTACCATCACCATCACTGATTGGGCCTGCACTCGTGAATTATCTGTGTAGGGAAGTCCTTTGTGAGTTGACTCCTACCAATGCAAAACTGCCTCCTCTGTGCAACTTACAGAATTGGCTGGGGGCACTGGGCAGTTATACAGCTTGTCCAGTACGTGTTCGGAAGTAAGACTTGAACCCACGTCTTCCTGGCTTCTAAGTTGACTCTCCATACACAGCGCCATGATGCTTTCCTATTGTTGTCATTATTAACTGTGAGCCAGGTTGCTTACTTTGTTGTTGTTTTACACGGAGTATGTTTTTTTCACCACTCACCAGATGTAGGCTAAAAGGACCCTGAGGTCCTGTCACTGCTCAACCCATTTCTATGTACAGGTTGTTTTGCTGCCAAAGTAAATCTTGCTGCCAGAGCAAAGGGACATATTTTGGCTATGGAGGGATTCTCCAAGTGAGAGTTCTAGTGAAATCCCTTCTGTTCTTGGCTTCTACAAAGTGCAATATGTCAATAAGGTCTTCCTCAGACCACAGTGGTCAACTTGGCATTGTAAAGTATTAACACCCAGCTATCTCTGACTATTACTATGTCTATACTGACCATCACAGCTGACCTATAGTTGGACTTAGTCAATGCAGAAAAGATCTGAGTCTAAACGAACTGAACAGAAGGTAGTTACTATCACCACCTTCTAAAGAGGAAAATCAGGGATTTTTTTTAATTCAAGGAATGATATAGGATAGAAATCAGTAAAGAAGGCAAAAGGGTAAAATTGAAGAGAATAAAAAAGAAATTGAGAAGGACTGATCCTATGTATCAAGAGATAAAGCAGGGTATTGAATTCCCATTAGTTTAATCTTCTCTAACATTTGTGCATAGTTTCAGAGTCTTTTTTCATAAAGTCAATTTTATTCAGACCTCATAAAGCTTGATAGCAATGCCCAAAATTTCCCTCCCCCAAGTGAATATGATAGTTGTTCTCTGAGGAGTTAATCTCTCCAGAAGAGCAAACCAGTTTAGCCCAAATGAGCACTGCCCCAGATATGAACATTAACTCAAAACAGAAAACTTTTGAGATTTGAGAACTGAAGTTTTCAAAAAAGATTTTATAGTCTACAGTTTCACCCAAGGATAGGAGATAGAAAGATCCCAGAAATACTAAAAAAAATAATAAAATAAAAAAAGAGAAAGAGATCCATTTCTAATATTTATGGCCAGACTATAATGAGAAAACCTTAGGGACCTTGAAGGAAGACACAACCACTAAATTTTAGACTCATAGAAGTCCGGAGAGACTTCAAGCTCAGTAGCCCAATTTTTCATCAGCCCCTGCACCTGGAATGCCAATGACCAGAGGCACTATTTTGGTGGGTGGTACTTAAAACCCTTATACTCTTAAAAAAAAAAAAACTCAGCTAGGGTGAGGCTTTTTGGTGATTGCCTAGTTTCACTGACAATAACTATAGTCTGACGTTTCCTATGCTGATCTTGACGGACAGAGCTCGAATTTCTCCAGCCCTCATATGAGTTTGGCCTTTGCCTTGGCCCTTCGTCAGACTCAATCTCCAGCATCATTCTGTTCACTGGATTGTTCATTGAGTGCTGCCTCCTGGGGAGTCCATCTGTTGAGTCTTTCTCCCCCGTCTTATTCTCCATAGGTATATATCCAATCCAGCTTCCCTCCCTTTCACCTCTGCTGTTCTGAACTTAACCCAACAAAGAGGAATGGGGATTTCTGGAGGACAGGGCCTTGAGGCAGAAGCCAAGTTCACATGTAGTCAGCCCTATATCTGGGGAGGAGAGGAGAGAGATGATCTTGGTCAAGCAACATAGTTCATGAAGTACAAAATGAGCTTTACTCATGCATAAATGGACTTTGAAAACCTCCCATTAAAGGCCTCACACACAGTGAATACAAAGTCCTTGTCTTTGTTCCAGATAGGCACAACATTCTCTAAGATTTCTATGATTGGGAAAACAGAATATTCATACAAATTGAGAATTAGAGCTAGAAGGGAGCCTAGATTCCATCAGTCCCGGCCCATCCATTTTACAGATGAGAGGACTGAGTCACTTAGTATTATCCAGGTGGGCGGCAAGTGTTTGAGGCAGGATTCCAAAGCAGGTCCCCCTGATTGCAGATCTGACGTTCTACTTAATATTCTAGCAGTTCCAGTTTAGTGGTTCGGAGATGGTCCAAAGGGTTCACACTAAATATTATTTATAAGTGTAAAGAATATTAGGAATAGTATATTAAATTACTCCCGGAGGGAGTTGTCACAATGCTTTGTGGTTATTATTGTTGCTGCTGCTGCTGTTGTTTTTAAGGGTTTTTAAGACAAAAAAAAATTGGGAATCACCACACTACTCCATGCTCCCTCTCTCAGGGGGTGGCTTTTCTACTTTAGTTAAATGTCATAAAATTCCCATCTGGTGCTAAAATGCTCTACTGCTTCTTTGCCAAATATGGCTCTAGAACTCATTAGGTGAATGAGCTTTCTGCCTAATAATATAAAAGGAATATTTTGAAAATGTGACTTCTAAACGATACAGTAAATCAGAGAATCTCATCCAAGAGTTTCATCGGCAATGGAAGGAAACTGGATGCCACATCTTATTCTCCATTTACCTAATAATTTAATTCAGTTTACCAAACATTTGTAAGCTTTCACAGGAGTGGGGGACCTTTGGCCTCCAGGCCACATGTGTCCCTCTGGGTCCTCAAGTGTGGGCCTGATTCTGTCAAGGGCAACACTTGAGGACCTAGAGTGCCACATATGGCCTCAAGGACATAGGTTCCCCACCCCTGCATCTAGCAGATAGAGAGTTGGCCTCTGGCTGGGGTTCAGGTCCCTCCTATGACTGTACTGGCTGAGGAACTTTGGGTAAGATGCTTAATCTCTCACTGCCCCTCCCCCCCAACTCTCTAAGAATGGGAATTGTTGATCTGCATTGGTAAAGAAAATTATCTCATCAGGACTTCCCTAGACTAGTGAAATAATAGATTCTCCTCCAGTCCCTTCAACCGGTCCAAGGCATTGTGCAAGGTATTAGAGATAGAGGGATAAAACCCAAAAGAGTCCTCACAGTCAAGTAACTTACATTCTACTTGGAGGGAGGGGAGAGATAAAGTAGAGACACAGACATCTAAATACAAAGTGATCCAAAATCATTTCAAGACAAAGAGTCATGATTCTATTTCACCTACTATGTGCAAATATCTCATTCAATCCTCACAACAACTCTGAGAGGTAGGTGCTACTGTTATCCCTATTTTACAGAAGAGGAAACTGAGGCAAACAGAGGTTAATTGACTTGCCCAAGGTCACAGAGCTAGTAAACATCCAAGGCTGGATCTGGTCTTAGGTTTTCATGACTCCAGGCCTAGCTTTCTATCTACTATATCACCTTGATATCTGAAGAGCTCAGAAAAGGCTTCTTGTGAAAGGTAATATCTGAACCTGAGCTTTGAAGAAAGTTAAGAATTCTAAGACCTGATATGTAAGTTGGCTTTATGGTTTCAGAAACACTTACAGAAGTTATCTCTCCCTTGATCTCCATGAAAGCCCTGGCTGGGATAACCTCACCATTTTAGTGTGCCCTTCACAATGAATATGCTGCCCTTGCTTTTTTGGGGGGGGGGAGGAAAAGAAATCTTAGAAAAGACTTTTTAAAAAAGGATTAACATTGTGAACATCCCAGAGCCAAATTCAAACTTAAAAGCTGGATACCTGAGGCAAATGTCTTACAGATGGAGGCTTCCCTTTGCCAAACTTCCTTTAAGTAGCTCAGGACCCACAGTGCTTTGCAGTTATGATTTGGCCGCCCCAAAGTCCTTTAATCTGTAACTTCCCTGGGGCATATATTTTGTGAGCAGCATGAGTTCATCTGGATTTCCAACAGCAACCTTTGGTGGGGCATATATAAACATGCACTAAAAACTCCATGGGTATATGGGGGGAAAAAGAATGAGGGGGTCCTATTGAAAAGAAACTAGAAAGTGATATCACAAAATAATGTAGATTATTTGAAGGAGATAAATTCTTTTCAGGATAAACTTTACTCAGAAGGGCTCTACAGCACAGATTTTCTGATCAATTCAAAGGAATTAAATTGATTTTCTTTTGAGAAAATTTTAGGAATTTCAAAGTTCCCATTGGGTTGATTGGAGATACTCTAGACTGAGGATATTATAGAAACAGAGGGGAAAATTTCTGTTCTGGGGGTGAAAGCAGGTATGAGAATGTAGCCTATCTGAGGTTGTGGTCTCCTACTAACCACTGTATCATTAGCTCTTCCAAGAATGTGACCTTAGCTAAACTAGGCCTCTAAGTGAGTCTGGACTTCAACCTTCACCATCCATTGTCATCTTGGTGACCAAAACATTTTCCAAACCATACTCTGACCCTTCACTTCTCTATCAGGAAAAAAAAAAAGATGGTTGGCTTTTAAGTCAGCTAAAAAGCCAAATCAAACCAATCAAATTTAAATTTGAGCTTCATTTAACACACAATGAATTTTATACACATAATAAAAAACAAATTTAAAATATTCAGTCCTTCCATGTAATTAAACAAGTTGGTAGGAAAATGCTGTTTCTCAGGAAAATGAGGTAAAATATTTCTTTCTTTTGGGTGCATTGAATCACACTCCATAACAATATTTCAGGAAAATGTTAGTTTTAGCGAAATTAATTAATTTCTCTAACTATTCACAGCAAGCAGCCAAGTAATTAGAACTGGGATATGGCTATCAGGCACAGAAACCTTATTCTTATTTCCCTCACTATTTCCCTATGTTTTTGAGTTAGTTTTTTTCTAAATTCTTAATGTAGTAGCTGTTTTCTAAAGAATGAGGAGAATAAAAATGGTAAAGTATTGGGGGGGTTGTACAAAGCGTGACATCTGTGTATTAGCGTTCTAGGTCAAGCCCTCAATTCATTTCCCCATAAATTGTAATGCTCCCATGTGTCTATTCTTGGATTTCATTTTTCTGTATATTTCTGACACTATGTGATCCTGGGCAAATGGTTTAAACTTGTGGAGTCCCAATCAGCTCCCTAGGATTTATTTTCTAAATTGTGATATGCACTCTGTGGTTGGTGGAGAGAGTTCCCACAGTGGGAGTTTCCTACTCGAACAATCACAGATCCTTCCCGTGTTTGCATAATCGATCTCTGGGCTGCTGGGGGAATGGTTTTGATGGTAGTAAAAAGAACACTGGAGTCCCAGAACCTGTCACTTAGTACCAGCATCCCTAGGAGAATCCTTAGCTCTCAGGGTTTCAGGGTCCTCATCAGAAAAAGAGGGGGTTGAACTGGGTGGATGCTGAGTTTCCTTCTAGCTCTAAATGTATGAGCTGGTGATTTTTTTTAACGCTCTGAGACCAAGAAAAAAAAGCAACCATAAGATCCTAGAGACAGAGCTAGAAGGAAACTCAGAGCCCACCTGGTCCAAGTTCTTGACCTTTTTGTGTGTCAGGAACCCCAATGATAGTCTGGTGATGCCTACAGAACCCTTCTCAGAATCAAGTTTTTAAGTGGATCAAATTAAAAACAGAATCCATCAATAAACATTTGTTAAGCATCTACTATGTGCCAATCACTATGCTAAGTGCTAGATCACAAAGGAAACCAAACATATTGAAATAGTAATTGAAATAATAGAAAACAAGCTCACTAGTGCCAGATTAAGACTCTCCAGTCCAACTTCATTAATTTATAGTTGAGGAACCTGAGACCCAGCGAGATTAAATTTAAGGTAAAGACATATTTTCATCTTTTAAGGAGAAAAAAGAAGTGGTCTTTATTCTTAAATCTGACTCTGGACATGCCTCTGGGTCTCTGAAGAACAGCTCAACAAACATTTATTGATTCCGGGTTCAAGTATGTTTTCTAATCCAAGCATTATTATAACCAAAAAAGAAAGTCTGAAAAGATACGCTGAGGAGCACTTTGACATTTTTTAATGTGGTGAAGCATCCAGTTAACATCCTTTCATTCATTAGAAGGTAAGCTCCTTGAGGCCAAGTTCTGTTTCTCCCTTTCTTTGTATTCACAGCACTTAGCACAATGCTCAGCACTCAGTACGTGCTTAATAAATGTTTGTTAAGTTGTTGACTTGTTCTGCATTGACTTGAAGGTATTAGAAACACCCTGGATTGTGTGTGTGACTCTGTTGTTCATTTCAGGACTGAAGGGTTCCCTCCAGAGACTGCAGCTCGAATACGTGGATGTTGTGTTTGCCAATCGGCCTGACAGCAACACACCCATGGAAGGTCAGTGAGTCCTATTTCCTGGTTTCAAAGTCATTGAACCTGCCTGATAGCCCTGTGCTAGCAGGCTGTGGAGCTGATTCAGGAGGAACCAGTCAATGTGCACCCATCACTGGCCTCAAACTCTTATGGGTCCTCAGCATTTACTTTCAGGCCAAGGGTTCTCAACTGTGTCTACGGTATAGAACTCTTGGACTGTTCATAGAAAGCCTGTGGATCTCATCGTAGAATAATGTTTGTCATCTTCATTCATAATTGAAGGAAATGCTTGTTTTCACTTAGAGGTTAGTGAAAAGAAAGATGTGTTTTTTATCCCATCCCCATTCACGGACCCCCTAAAAACTATCCATGGAATCCTTAGGGGTTGGTATACCACAGTTTAGGAAACGCTGCTTCTGACTAAACACTGCATTTTTCTTTAAAAAGAAAAAAAAGACAGTAAGAGAATGAGTTTGGTCTCCTTGCCAAATTATCATGTCCATTTTCCCAGGTCCATCCCCTTGTTTGTGATTCTAATAAACAAAGAGTCAAATGAATTACTGAGGAACTTTATTACCTGAACATTCTTATGTCAAATTTGGTTCTTCTTGCTCAATAAATAACTTCCCTAGGTCCACCTATATTTCTGTCTCTAGCAGTGGAAGCCAGGAGGATTTACTCCAAGCCAAAATCCAACAGGAGACTGTTTCTGAGCTCCTGATACTCTTCAGGGAGCTCAGCAAAGTCAAATCTGGGAATTTCAGCTGAATGGGGAAGGCGGGAAGGGACACCCGGAGGACAGTCCACCCTAGTCACATGCAGTTGGGCCAGCAGAGCAGACAGCCCATGGATGCCCCTCCAACAACCCCTGACACCCCCCATGCCTCAGGAGGAAGCAGAATCGGGGGTGATGAGAGAGCCCCGTGCCAAAGCTCAGGTTACCTATTCCTTACTGTTAGTGTGGCTAATGGTCTTTAAGGGCTTCTTTTTCTCTGCTTCAGAAATGGGAAACATTTAAAAATTCAATTCAATTTAATTCAATTTGCCAAACATTCCTAAGTTTGAGGCCAAGAACAGAGAAAAAGCCCAGTGGTTGTAGAAATGTCCCTTCTAACTCTGGATCTGTGGTTTTACCTCAATGACTGCCAGTGTCCTGTATATAATATGTATTTAATAAGCATGCGTTTGGGTTGAATTGAAATGGAACTCATAATGTGCACCTAATGGGTTTAATGGTTATAATGGGAGTGGGAGGGCACAGCTGATTTTTGGGACTGGGGCCTTCTCGTGAATCATCTCATGTAGCATGCAAAAAAAAAAATCTATTTCTGCCTGGGAACTTTCTGGTTGTCTGAATCTTGAATAAATGGGAGTTTGTTGTATATGAGCGCCTGAATGCCAAAAGAATAGCATTATTTAAAGAGGAGGTGGGAGATGCTTCTTCTTTTAGACTAGATATTTGTTAGAATAAATGCAAAAGTGTTACACACTTCATAAGATTCATACGTAGATTTTGAACATAAAATGTCACACTGTTCTCAATCACATATAAAACTATGGCACCAAAGAGAAATTAGCAAAACCTGTAAAATAGGCTGTAGCTTTGAGGGGCTCCTTGGCTAAAATCACTCTGCTGTTTAATGCAGTGACTGAATCCCCTCTGGGATGGTGCCAAGGCATCAAGTCAGTGGATCTGTGTTTAAGTTCCCATGCTGCACCAATCCTCATCGCAGTCTTTACAGGGGACTTAAGGTTAGTAAGAGCCAGTTGCTGTCCTGAAGAAGCTCTTGCTCCAGGAAGGAGATAAGATAAACGTGGAAAGAATGGAAGCCAGAGGCGAAAAGAACCAAAAAAAGGTGCAAAGTCTTATAGAGGAAGGGGAGATAATACCACAATTAGGGAAGTCATCCTGGAGGAAGTGTCATTTAAATTCAACCTTGAAGATTTTGGTGGGCAGCAATAGAAGAGGGGGGGTGGATGGACTAGGGAGAAGGTGAGCTGTGAGGGCCTCTGGATTAACTCACAATCAGAGATTTAACAAAATTGAATATAACAAGGATGTATTAAGTGCCTACTGTTTATCAGGAATTGTGCTAGGGCGCGCACACACAGAGTACCTGCCTCAAGGAGCTTACATTCTCTTTTTACCATTACGTTTACAAATGCAGGAGTACCTCTGCATTTGCAGGAATATATTCTTGACATCCCCTCAAAGAGGGAAATCATCAGTTACTGAGCTGTGCCAATACCTGTAGAGAAAAGCCCTCAATTAGGGACCAAAATCTAAGATGTTAACTAGAGGTCGTTCTAGACATAGTTACCTTCATAGAGAGAATCCTCCATCCCACAGGAGCTGCATAGTATCAGTAAGAGGCATTAGTGCCTCTGGACTGGGTGTTCAAGACACTGGTGGGCTCAGCATACTTGGTAACCTTCCAAATGGGAAATCATAAAGCCACAAATGTTTCCTATGTATTTCCTGTATCTAATGCCACTGAACTCTGGCAAAATTACCACTGGCATCATGGGGCATCATTATTGCTCCAAGTTCATGGTACCCACTAAGGATGCCAAGAACAGTGAGCAATGGGGATTCACCAGAAGTTGGTCTGGTCCAAGAATACAGCATGCTGTGTCTCAGGAGCCAGGAGTCACCTTCCCGCTCAGGAGCAGGAGGTAGAATGTCACACAGTCTAAGGAAAGGACAGTTCCACCGACACGGTGGCTGACAGCAATTACAGCATTTTGTTTTTGTGGGAGAGAGATTAGCCAGGCTCCTCCACGAGCAATTACACCTGCTGGATGTGCTCCAGTCTGAGCCTCGTGCTGGCCCTGGGAGAACAACACATGTGCCCTTTGCTTCTAGGATTAACGATTCTGCTGAGTCTTAAGGCATGTTAGTTCCTCATTCTATCCCAAGGAGATTCCAGAATTTGGAAACACGTTCTCCTATTCAGCTTTTTCTACTTCATGTGTAGTGATGACTTACTCTCCTAGGACAAGGTCAGCTACATCTCCCCCCTTAACTTTCTGGGGATGCCCCTGAGAATTTGGGGTATAACTTCTCCGATGCCGTTGGCTCAAGACCCTGATCTGCTCCCTCCACTATTAGCATCCAAATTTTACTTTACCAATGAACATCAACCAGCTTTCACAAAAGGATATTTATCTCAAAGATATAGCAAGAACAGAAGGAGAAGCATTTCCCTGGCAGGCACACTATACCCCACGCCCCTTTTTTCAGTGGAACTTGGGCTCAGATGACTGAGTGTCTATGCAGTACTGGTCTCACCAAGTTCAGGTCCAAATGGGGCATCACAGCTGAAGGGTTCCTGTCTTAGCTACCCATGGGCTGGGCTCAGAAGGCCCCTCCTCCTTCCTAGATCCTCAGGACATGGATGCCCAGCTGAAAAAGCCAGCATTGACTCAAGTGCCAGGCCCCAGGAGGCTTGCTCACCTGGGCTTCCAAGGTCATTGCCATCTCCCTCACTTAGAATATAAGAGCAAACAATAACAAAAATCTGAGGCCTGCATTCCCAGACTGTTGACCTTAAACAGGGAGGACCTGGGGCTCTCTTTTCTCTCTATGGGATACTGCCAGGTAGGAAGAAGGCAAATTAGGGGAAGAAACAGGTTCCAGCTAACTAATGCCTTCTAAATGTATCCCAGCTCCAGCTATGCTGCTGCTGTCAATCATACACTCCTCCTCACCACATGGTCAGTGGACCAGAACCAGTTATACAATCTGCACCTGCTCCAAAGTCTAATGGGACTGCAACAGCCCAGCACTCTGGGCAGGCTCGTAAGAAGCAGGCTTTATGAGGCATCCGTAGGTACAGTAACAGGTGAAAGGTACTCATAGAGTGGGGCAGCTAGGTGGCGCCATAGGGCACAGAGTGCCCAGCCTGAAGTCAGGAAGACATCGTCCTGAGTTCAAATCAGGCCTCAGATACTTTAGCTGTGTGACCCTGGGCAAGTCACTTAACTCTGTTCGCTTCAATTTCTTCATCTATAAAAGGAGCTGGAGAAGGAAATGGAACACCACTTCAGAATCTTTTCCAAGAAAAGACCAAATAAGGCTAGACACAACCTGAAAAATGGCTGAATAACAACTGATAGAGTGTGGGTGGTTCAGGGAGGAAAGGAAGCAGGTATTCAGAGATATGGAGCTAATTTATACCTCTTAAAATAGGAGTGGTGGTCTCTATATCCTGCCTAAATCCTGAAGAACCTACAAAGATCTTTTTTTTTTTACAAAATTAGAATATAAGCTCATTGAGGGCAGGTTTTATTTCATTTTTGGTTTTGTGTGCCTAGTGTTTAGAATAGTGCCTTAGTACATAGTTGTTGAATTGAATTTCTACCTACTGAAAAGCATTTTGAGTAACTTAGATAATGATGTTTTACAAATGCAAAGTATATTGATTTAAGGAGACATTTTCAGGGGCAAATTTTCATCAGCTCCCACACATTGTTCATTACATGGTTTAGCTAGAGGACCATGCCCAATGGAACATTTTTACCACCCTGGCAATATGGTATCCCCTGCTTCTTTCTTCACATGTCCTTTCCTTTGATATTTTTGTTGCTGTTACTGTTTGATTATGTCCAACCCTTTGTGACCCCATTTGGAACTCTTTTAATATACTCAATTAGCTGAAGAATCTCTGATTGCATTATTTATCAGCATGGGAAATTCTCCAGGTAAGTACTTCCTCCATTGAGGCTGGTTTCCTCACAGATACGACTTAGCAGGCAAGTCTTTGTGTCTCCCACATGAAGGTTAAGTGATTGCCCGGAATGGGCCATACCGCTAAGTAGCTGAGATGGGTTTTGGATCCAGGTTTTCCTGACTCCAGATGCATTATTCTAGTCACTACCACAGTCTCTGAGCTCTTTTTTTTAACCATATACCCCTATCAATTAAAAAAATTGAGCATGAACCCCCAGGATGTGAGAACCCTTGGAGTTTGCTGAGGTGAGAGCAATAAGGTCAGTCTTTGGCATTAGGAAATCACTTTGGC